AGTGGCAGAGCCTCTGCTTGGCATGCAGAAGGTCCCAGGTTCCATCCCCGGCATCTCCAGTTGAAAGGACCAGGCAGGAGGGGATGGGAAAGACCTCCGCCTGAGACCCTAGAGAGCTGTAAAGAGGGGCTGTGGCTCAGTGGTAGAGCCTCTGGTTGGCATGCAGAAGGTCCCCGGTTCAATCCCCGGCATCTCCAGTTAAAAAGGACCAGGCAGGAGGTGATCGGAAAAACCTGAGCCAGAGACCCTGGAGAGTCAATGCCAGCCTGAGTAGACAATACTGACCCAGCTTCAGTATAAGGCAGCTTTGTGAGTGTTCATGTGTAATGATCTGAGCCCCTGGCTCAGTGGCAGAGCCTCTGCTTGGCATGCAGAAGGTCCCCGGTTCAATCCCCGGCATCTCCAGTTCAAAGGGCCAGGCAGGAGGTGCTGGGAAAGACCTTGACCTGAGACCCTGGAGAGCCGCTGCCAGTCTGAGTGGAGAATACCGACTCTGATCCAGGGGTCTGATTTAGTAGAATCTTCCTGTGTGTTCATGTGTGCCCAGCTGTGTGTGCTCACAGGGTTGATGGAAGGAGGGGAAGAGAAAGTCACAAAGACCACCATGAGCCCTTTGGGGGAAGCACGGGCTTAGAATGTGATAGATAAATTATGGTTTGTATGGAAGGCAGCAGTTTCTCACCATGCTCTCGACATGCTTTTTTCTGTCTTACAGGTATGTGCTCGGCGGAGGTGCATTATGCATGGAGCTTCTCACTAAGCAGGTGAGCGCAGAGGCGGAATCTCACCCTGAACCACTCGCTCCCGTGCCATTGTGGGTCGGGCATAGGGCTCCCAAACAGGGCTCCCTCTAAGCTGTGGAGTCCCATGAGCAAAACTTCTCCTTTGTGAGCCCCTGGCATTAAAGTTGCGAGCGAGCGAGTTGGCTACTTGCATAAATCAGTTTGCTCTGGAGCTGTCCTTCCTGAGCTAAGACAAAAAATGTGTGAGCCGGAAGCTAAAAAAACTGTGAGCTGTGTTGGTTTTATTTTCCCCCACTGCTCTTCAGGGGCGTAGCCAGAAAATGTTGATTGGTGGGGCAGGGACCGGGGTGGTGGGCCAGGGGCACAGGGAACTTAATTGGATTAAGAGCAGACAAACAAATCACAACAGCCAAATGATACCATTATTTTGACCGACCATAATCGAATAAAACCCTGACTTTTTGCTCTCTTTTTAAAAAATCATGACTGGCGGCTCTTCAAACGAGAATTTGTAGCCATTCACCCCAGCCAGTGTTCCCTCTAAGCTGAGTTAGAGTGAGCTGGCTCACAGTTTTTTAGCCTCCGGCTCACACCTTTTTGTCTCAGCTCAGGGAGGAGGGCTCCAGAGCAAACTGATTTATGCAGTAGCCAAATCGCTCGCTCACAACTTTAAGGCCAGTAGCTCACAAAGTAGAGTTTTTGCTCACAAGACTCCGCAGCTTAGAGGGAACATTCACCCCAGCCCCCCTCCATGAGCTGCTGCCGCAAACAGGACTCTCGGCTTGAGTCGGGCAATGATCCGTGGTGCTTACCGGGCTCCAGGAATCGAGGATTTTAAATGCAGGCTGCGGGCAGGGTGTGTCCTACCTGAATTAATACCCAAATAAATATTTTTCAAACATGGTTTCTGGCCGCAGGACTCGTGGGGCGTGGCTGTTTAAATGAGGGGGCGTGGCCCCACTACGCCCCACGATCGCTCTTCTTAGTGTGTTGTTTTCAAATCGGCCCTCTCCTCCCCGTCTCTTGGGCTTTCTCTGTGTGTGCGGCAACACCTGCTGGGACTTCCATTTTGTAATTGACACCCCCCCCCCCAGTTTGTCACAATTTATAAGGTGTCCACAGGCTTAAAAAGTTTAGGGACCCCTGCCCTAGAAGAACAGAGCCGAATCAGCCCCAAAGGCTGAACAGAAGCGAGGCCGTTCATTCCGATATGAGTGCAATTAGCCAAGAGGAGGTCTGTTGGGGGGGGGGGCTCATATCCTGCCGATTCCTGAGTGCCGTCCCGTGCTGGAGTTTCCCTTCTCTTGTTTTCCTTCCAGGGCTGGAGCAGTGCCTACTCCACGGAATCGGTCATCATGCAGATCAACGCTACACTGGTCAAAGGCAAAGCCAGGGTTCAGTTTGGAGCAAATAAGGTAGCTCTAGCACAGGGCGGTCTTGATTGCACCTTAGGGAGCGTGCTGGGGGGGGGGTTTGCATCGTAGTGGTGTGTGTGAACAAGATCTTGGGGTACGGGTGGACCATAAGTTAAATAGGAGCCGCCAGTGTGATGCGGCAGCAAAAAAGGCTAATGCGATCTTGGGGTTTATCAACAGAGACGTGACATCCAAATGGCAAGATGTCATAGTCCCGCTGTACACTGCATTGGTCAGGCCGCACCCAGAGTATTCTGTGAACACGGCTCTCCTCTGAAACTATTTAACAGGATCAGATGACCAACTATGAGCTATAACTATGAGCTATGATCAGGGGCCTGGAGGCTGAGCCCTGTGAGGAAAGGCTGAGGAACTTGGGAATGTCCAGTCTGGAGGAGAGGAGGTTGAGGGGGGACAGGTTTGCTCTCTTGAAGTATCTGAAGGGCTTTCACTTGGAGGAGGGCAGGGAGCTGTTCCTGTTGGCAGCAGAGGAGAGGACTCGCAATAATGGGTTGAAATTAAGGGCGGGAAGGTACTGGCTGGATCTTAAGGAAAACTTTTTTTACAGGAAGAGTTGTTCAACAGTGGAACCAGCTGCAGCAGGGGAGCTCGCCAGCCACCTCCCTAGGCGGCTGATTCCACTTTTGCACAACTCTGACTGTACAGAACAGCTCCCTGCCCTCCTCTAAGTGACAGGTCGACAGATGTCGCAGCCAGATTGCCCTCACGGCGCTTCTCTGCCTTCTGGCTAAGATCGAGTGTGGAAAGGCTAGCATCCAGGAGCGGCTTAGAGACCGACCGGATTTTCCGGGCACAAACGTTCGAGAGTCAAAGGAGGCTCCCTTTGTCAGATAGCCCACAACATCTGTTACCTGGCAAAGAGAGCGTTGCCGCTCAAAACCAGGGTGGTGTCCAAAGCGCCACTGAATCCCAATCTGGCTCTTCTGCTGCCGACCAACACGACTCCCCTTTGAAAATACTTTTAGGGGTTTCATCTCTCTTGTTTTGCTACCCCGACTCCAACCCGGTCAGCATCGTTGTCCTCCCGTTGCAGTAGCAAGGCTCAGAGGGGACTGTGCAAGACCACCTGGTGAGCTCATTGCAGAGGCGGGATTTGAACTCGGAGACGTCCCAGTTTGCCTGGTGTAAGCTCTCGAGATCTCGCGAAGGGAGCTTTGACACTCGGAAGGCTCATGACCTGAAAATACCCTCGGTCTACCCAGGGGCGGATCTACTCTTGAGGCCCCGAATCCTGGAGTGGCCCCGAAGCTACTTCTTTGTTTAACGAGTGAATTTTTCCAACGAAATCCATGGATTTTTTTAAAAGTGGTTGTTATTAAAATAAGGCTATTTCAGTGACAGAATCGTAAGCCAGTGAGCCGAAGTACTCAATACTGACCTTAGAATATGCTCCAGTTCCCATTTCGTATGGTCTCAAAACGTCCCTGTAATTGGCAAGATTTCAGAATTTCCTTGGGGGCTCGCAACACCCGAACCCCCCCAGCTGTATGTGCTCGCCAGAACCTATTCGTAGCCTACATTTTAAAAAATTGTGGCGATCTGCCATGGGACCCCATAGAAGAAGATAACAGCGGTTACCCAGACCTCGTTGCTGGTGGGAAGGGGCTCACTGTATGGCCCATTTTCAAGGGCCGGATACGAAATTACAGTCACGAGAGTCTGACCCACAAATCCAGGTAGCCAACGAGACAGACAAAGAAAATATTTTCTATATCTTGTCTCCAATAGACACTACATTACAATGAACAAATTTCAACAAATGGGTAAGAAAATCCTTGCGTAAGGTAACGTCGTCTCCGGATTTTATAACAATGTTTCAGCAAATGGATCTTCTTCAGGAAATATTCTAGAAAGTAGTACAAGAGTTCTCATGCTCCCAGATGCCTGGGATCAGTGTCTTACCACTAAATGCATTCTATTATTCCTGATTCTGTGTATAGCACTTTATGAGCATGAAAACCCTTGTACTACTTTATAGAATATTTCCTGAGGAAGATCCGTTTTTTGAAACGTCGTTATAAAATCCGGAGACGACGGTGATGTGTCCTTACACGAGGATTTTCTTACGACTTGATGGAATTTGTTCATTGTTATGTAGTGTTTAGGGGCTGCGGTGGCTCAAGGGGTTAAGACACTGAACTGCAGATCGGAAGGTCGGTAGTTCAGCAATTCAAGACCCGAGTGCCGCAAGACGGAGTGAGCTCCCGTCTCTGGCCCCAGCTCCTGCCAGCCTAGCAGTTTGAAAGCAAGACATTGCAAGTAGATAAGTAGGTACCGCTTCAGTGGGAAGGCAACAGTGTTCCGTGCGCCTTGGTGTTTAGTCATGCCGGCCACATGACCACGGAAATGTCTTCGGACAGCGCTGGCTCTTTGGCTTGGAAACGGAGATGAGCACCGCACCCCTAGAGTCGGGTTCGACTGGCTTTTGAGCAAGGGAAACCTTTACCTTTACCTATGTAGTGCTTATTGGCAGCTATAGAAAATATTTTCTTCGTTAAGTCTTGCTGACTATCTTGATTGGTGGGTCAGGCTATCACGACTGTTTTCTTAGTATTCGTTTCCAGACAAGGTCACGATTGTCCACATTTGTCTTGCCATTTTCAAGGGCTCCACCCACCCCCTGTTCTCCGCCATTTGGGCCTCGGGGTCCTTGCAAGGGCAGCAGGGCCCTTTGGACCTCGTTGGATGTTGCCCTATTGTTGCTGGTGGAGAAGGCCCCCCCCCAAGAGTGCAAGTTTCAGTGTCCCAAAAATGTAGGTCCGCCACTGGGTCTCTCTCCAAGGTGCTCCTGGACTGTAGCCCGTCTGACACCTGGTCTTTCCCAGAAGGCCGAGAAGCGACGCGAGGGCAATCCTGCAACATGTGTCACCCCGTGGATTACCAGGGTTGGTTCGGCTGATCTGACAAGCCAGCCTTATTCCTGCCGACCAATATGGCTGCCCTCTGAAACTGTGTACCCATGGGATGGGCAAAGACCCTGACTCGGGCCCGCTTGTCCCGCGTCCTAAGCCCGGGACTGGATAAGTTCAGATGGATTTGTAACTGCGTCTGCTTCTGCGTGGTTTCCTGGGATCAGCACTAAAGCCCGGCGCCTTCCTTTTTCTCTCTCTCCCTTCCAGAACCAATATAACCTAGCAAGAGCACAGCAGTCGTATAAGTCTCTAGTACAGCTACACGAGAAAAATGGTATGTATGGTAGGTACGGCGTGATAAAATACGTAGTTTTGGAAGTATGAGCCTCAGAAGGAGACAGAGACACCCCTCCGGGCAAAACAGCAACAAAAAGTGATCTCGAAAGTCGCTTCATTCTCGATGGCTCAGTTCAGACGTTAACGTGGTTTGTTTGTGAACCATGGCTGGCGGGTGAGAAACCAGATTCGGCTCTGCGGGTGATGGTTCGAACCCCGGTTTGCCTCGACAGATGCCAGCAGCTTTCCCTTAAGATCAAGGATCTCAAAAAAAACCCCCAAAAAAACCTGTTTGGAGGGTTTCAATAATATGAAGACATAAACTTCTCTAATAGAAGGAGAATTTTGTATCACATTTGTATAATTGTATTTTTGTAATTCTGAGTGTTGTCTGCACAAATGTGCAGTTTTTTGCCCTGGTTTACAGCAGGGAATCAGTTTGTATGGAACCCGCGAGTAATTGCATGGACTTTTCCAGTTGGGGAAATCGATTTTTTAACCCTGGGATTCTGCATCTCTGAGGCGCCATCATTGGTCCAAACGGCATTTGGTCCAAATCATCCAGGCACTGTTTTAGGGGTTGGCACCCAACTAGGGCGTGGATCCAGTTGGTGTAGGCAGGGCTTTTTTTGTAGAAAAAACCAGCAGGAACTCATTAGCATAATAGGCCATACCCAACATCAGGAACTCATTAGCATATTAGGCCACACCCCTGACAGCACAGCTCATTCACATATTAGGCCACACCCCCATGTTGCGAGTGTGCGGCTCCTGGCAGGGTGGCTGGGAAAGCGAAGGGGAGGTGTGCGTGCCTTCCCGATTGGTCTTCCCTTCCCTAGCCTGTGTTCCCCTCCCTGGGTAGGCTTGAGGTGGGGGGAAGCAAAGAAAGAAAGCAACATTAACTTTAAATGTGTTTTCTAAGTCTCTTCTCCAAGCCAAGCCAGCCAGCACGGGGGTCTTGGAGGACACATTTAAAGTTAAAGTTGCTTTCTTTCCACTTCTCCCACCCTCCCCCATCTATTTGCTTTCTTTCCACTTTCTCTGTCTCTCTCTCTGTCTCTCAGTCTCTGTCTCTCTCTCTCTGTGTCTCTCTCCCCCCCCTCCCCAGCTAAAGTTAAATGTGTTCTCCAAGCCCCACCACATCGGCAGACTGGCTTGGCTTTAGAAGGCATTTGTCTCTTTTAATTTAATATTCACATTTGCATGTTTTTCATTTAAAACGTGTGTTTTCCTGTCTTGGGGCTCTCAAACAGCTGACATTCATTCTATGTGGCTCTTACGTTAAGCAAGTTTGGCCACCCCTGGTGTAGGCACATTGTGCAGATTGTTCAAATCCAGACACACGAAGAGCCATATCCTTGAAACCCTTTCCTTTGCACAGACTTAAGTGGACGTTCAGAGCGTTGGCACTGTAACGGTATCTTGTTGTACGGTACGGCCATCTCTTGTCAAGAAGAGAACGGGCCTTGGTCATTGCTACTGAATTCTCACAGATCGCCGGTCCTTTGTGTTTCCCGCAGGCTGGTTCACACCTCCAAAAGAAGATGGTTAATTGGGTGGACTTTGTGTGTCCTGGACCAACGTCGGCGCGAAAAAAGACGTCCCTTCCGACACAGATTCAAGCTACGAATGCCCTTGTAACAGCCATAACTGAAGATTCTAGCTAATAGATAATAGTTGGGTAATCTGTTGACCGATGCATCCAGTATAAGTTAACAGCCGTACAGTTCTGCTCCTGCTGCTGTGTACCTTGGACCGAACAGTTTGCTGTTATCGCCCTTGTGGATGACACCTTACTAAGGGGCCGAACTTCCCGCCTTTCTTCTTTTTCCCCAAGCATAAGATTCTTCAAAAACCAGGCTGTTGGCTTACTAAAACGTCAATCAGTAGGAGACGTCCTATCCCATGATTTTGTATGCACTTTCTCCCCGCCCCCCCCCCGGATAGCAGAGAAAGGCAATATATTTTATTTACAGCCAACCAACTTCTAACAATGTTAGTTTAGGGATAGGTTACAAAGCTTCCGCCCCACCCCAGTCTCGTTAAAAATCGTATATATTTCCCCCCTCCCCTCCGGCCTAAAACTGAAAGCATTTGTAGTGTTGCCAAATTCAACTGATATATAGGAAGACTGTATGTTCGAATAATTAAACACACACACACACCGCGGCTGTGTCGAAGATAATGAACCGTCTCCAGAAAGAGCCGCTCGTTGGATGTCGCACTGCTCTAAAGTGAAGCCAGCCTGTGCCGATCAGAACTTTTCGACTAGTCGATTCCACTGGGGCGTCAGTTTTCTAGCCGGGCGGCTCTGCTCTTCGGCGCCCGTCGCCCCCTTCACGGGAAGAGGGGGTCGTAGGTCACAAAGCTTGAAGTTATTTAAGGAGTACTAGGAAACCTCTCGTGTAGGCATTCAGTTCTGTCGTGACGGGATCGTTGCAATCCTTTGTGGACTTCACGGACTTCTCAAGCGATCGGCAGAAATCGAGAAGCAAAAAAATAAAACGGAGGGAGGGGTTTTAAGCGAAAGTGACCGGAGCGAATTCCAGGAACCTCTCGATTCCGAATTTCTTTTTACAGAGTTGCCATAGCCGTGCCCGTGGTTTCGCCGCAAAGCTCATGGGAATTGCCGTTCCTTTTAGGAAATGAATCTGGGTTGGTAACGACTGATATGTATCCTCCTTGCCTTACCTTTTAAAAAAAAGAATAATAATAAAATCAGGGTCAGGGCTTTGTTTGGTAATTCTTCTGTTTGCAGGCATTGAATTAAAGGTGTAAGCACTTTTTTAAAGTACAGCATGGTCTCTTCTCTCTGCCCCCGTTTGAAAGATATCGAGAGTATTCTTTTCTTCGGTGCCCAAGGGGGCTGTCAGGTGTTTTGTTTGTTTGCGCTGGGTTTTCTTTTCCACTTGGAAGAAGGATTTACAAGGATTTTTAGCCCGGTGAAAGACTGTTTCTCGGAATGCTTGTAGACGGCTTCCTGGCCCCTCTGCTTTATTTGGTTGTACGCATTTAAAATCCTGTTAACTCCAAGGCCGAATTCTGTAAACCTTTTTGGGTTTTTTTTTACAGCTCCTTTTAAATCCTGAGGCTATGACCATTTCTTTTTTTGGAATATATTATTCAGTTCTTTAATATCCCAATGGACTAGCAGAACAACAGGTACACCCTTGGCTATGCTTTTTTTTAGTTTCACTTTTTTCATGGCAGAATTATTTGGTGGTATACGGTAATCTATAAACTTGCATCAAGTTTATGAATAAAAAAACCATTTTAAGAATTCTGTTTCTGGTTAGTTATCTCTGTGTTAAGATGGCTTTTCAACTGCTTGGAGCGTAGCGTTTTTCTCGACACCGGTGCCTGTAAAGATGAAAAGAAGGATTTGCTTTTAGATTTTTTTTATCACGTGCTGTAAGTTTAACATTAAATAATATATGTCAAGGGTGGAGCTAGCTGCTTGATTCTTAAGAGACTGGGCTTCTTTAAGTAATGCTACCTCCTCCTGGCTGTTGCTTGGCGAGGTTCCTAAAATATTAATCCAAAGCAGGTAGAGATCTCATTCCCAAACAAAATGTCTTTGTGCCGCTTTTATACCTAGTCTTTCTCCCCAACGAGCCCTGAGTGTCTTACATCATGAAGAAGTGAGCAGTGACTCACAAAAGCTCCTCCCCTGCCGCATATTTTGTGAGTCTTTAAGGTTCTCCTGGACTCTTGCTCTTTTCTACTGCTAGAATGTGAGTCTGTCTGTCCTTCTATCTTGGAGAGGGGAGTGATTTCAGACAGAGGGACTCCCATTCTAGCCGTATCCGAAGAAGTGAGCAGCGACTCACCAAAGCTCCTCCCCCTGCCACAAGTTTTGTTCGTCTTCAAGGTGCTCCTGGACTCTTTGCTCTTTTCTACTGCTAAACTACGAGTCCACCTGTCCTTCTTTCTTGGAGAGTGAAGTGATTTCAGACAGAGGGACTCCCGTTCTAGCTGTATCTGAAGAAGTGAGCCGTGACCAATGCTCCCTCTAAGCTATGGAGTCTTGTGAGCAAAAATTCTGCTCTGTGAGCTACTGGCGTTAAAGTTGTGAGCGAGCCGTTTGGCTAGTGCATAAATTAGTTTGCTCTGGAGCCGTCCTTCCTGAGCGAAGGCAAAAAAAATAAAAATGGGTGAGCCAGAGGTTTAAAAACTGTGAGCTAGCTGACACTAACTCAGCTTGGAGGGAACACTGGCTGTGACTGACAAAGGCTCCTTCCCTGCCACAAATGCTGTTAGTCTTCCAGGTGCTACTGGAGTCCAATGTTCCCTCTAAGCTGTGGAGTCTTGTGAGCAAAAAAATCCATTTTGTGAGCTACTAGCATTAAAGTTGTGAGCGAGTGGTTTGGCTACTGCATAAATTAGTTTGTTCTGGAGCCCTCCTTCCTGAGCTGAGACAAAAATGTGTGAGCTGGAGGCTAAAAAGCTGTGAGCTAGCTCACAGTGACTCAGCTTAGAGGGAACATTGCGTGGAGTCTGGCTCTTTTCTGTTGCTAGACTATGAGTCCATCTGCCCTTCTATCTTGGAGAGTGGAGTGGCTTCAGGCAGATGGACGCCCATTCTAGCTGCATCCGAAGAAGTGAGCGGTGTGACTCACCAAAGCTGCTTACCCTGCCACAAATATGGTTAGTTATTCAGGTGCTCCTGGACTTTTGCTCTTTCCTCCTGTGAGGTGGGTTAGGCTGAGAGAACACGCCTGGCCCAAGGTCACTCAGTGAGTTTCCAAGGCACAAGTGGGGATTCACACCTGGGCCTCCCAAGTTTGACACTCCCGGCCACTGCACACCACACTGGTTCTCTGAGTCCGTGAGAAGCAGATTTCCTTCTCTGGCATTGTACATTCTGGCATTGCTGGGCAGTGGATCTATATGGAGTTTAAAACTAAAATGCACAGAGGATAGGTCTATCAGTGACTACAAGCCACGGTGAATCAAGGGAACCTCCATGTCCAGAGGCCACAGATCTCTGAATATCCAGGTATGTGAGTGGCCCAAGGTCACCCCGCAAGCTTCAAGGCCAGAACGGGGGATTTGAACTTGGAGTCTCCCGGATTCTAGTCTGACCCTCACGCCACCACACCACACCGGCTGCCTCTCATCAGAGGGTGCAAGCACAGAGAGCGTGCAACCAGGATGTCAGGCAGGGCTCATCGAGGTCCATGCCGGTGTTCCCTCTAAGCTGTGGGGTCTTGTGAGCAAAAGTTCTACCTTGTGAGCTCCTGGCATTCAAGTTGTGAGCGAGGGATTTGGCTGCTGCATACGTTAGTCTGCTCTGGAGCCCTCCTTCCTGAGCGGAGACAAAAAAAGCAGCCATTTTCTCCAGGGGAACTGATCTCTGTCGCCTGGAGACCAGTCGTGATTCCAGGTTTCCAGCCACCCCCAGGAGTTTAGCAAACAATATAGAACACCATAACAAGAGAACTGGCAGCTTAAGAAAAACAGTGATGTTACGGGTTCAACATACAAATTACGATTTACCACTATATCAGTTTTAACAACTCATAAGTTTCCAGTTAGAATATGGTCTCTGGGTATGCAGGAAGTTCAGCCCAAATGAACAGACTTAAAGTGTACAAGGGATCCAAACTCCAAGTCTCTGAACATACAGAAATGTTCTTCCTAGATCACAAAAAAAGAAAAGCTCTGGGACTGGCTTATTAGGAATGGATGTTCCACCTATTCAGACTGCATTCTAAATGGAAACTCATGAGTTATTAAAACTGATATATTGGTAAATTGCTTATGAAATAGAATTATATACACACACATATATATATATATATACACAAAACATTTTATTCAATTTTTAAAAATATTTAATAAAAATATTTATAAAAATTATATTTTATAAAACAGAATTAATAGGATCACTGTTTTCCTAAGCTGCCAGTCTTCTGGTCACAGTGCTCTGTATATGCCACTTGCCGCGTGATTCTCTCATTTGGTGTTATAATACCTCCTGGAGGTTGGCGAACAACTTTTGACAGGGCCACGGTTGGACATTTCCGGGCACGGCCCCCAAAGGAAGCCTCTCCCTCACTCGGCTTCGGGCCTGGTATTTAAAATTAATCCCTTATGTCTTCCCCCCCCCCCTTCCAAGAATTGTTAAAACGCTCCCTTTCAGACACGCTCCCCGTTTCAGCCGGAAATTGTCCTTTTTTGCCGCTCTGGTTGTTGCTGGGATAAGAGAGATCGGGCCACTTCCGGTCCAAATTTCACATAATAGCACCGGCGCCTAGAGAGGCGTCCAAAGACTCCGCTCAGGGCCAAGGAAGACTCGGCCGGAAATCTCGCCTCCAGCCTCCCGCCCCTTCCGCTCTAGAGTGCCGGCGGACCTCTGTGGTGCGGCGCAGGGCGCTGTGTTGATGACGTGCTCGGGGCGCGCCTGGACTTCAGGCTTCTTCTTCGCCGCCTGGGACGACCTTTGGCCCCGGCTGGTTGCTAGGCGACGGGCGAGGCCTGGACGGACCTGCGGCGACCATGGAGCCCGACCCCAAGGCCTTCTACGTCCTGAGCAATCTGGCCGAGGTGGTGGAGCGAATCCTGGCCTTCCTGCCCACCAAAGCCCTCCTGCGGGCGGCTTGGTGAGGGCCGGCCCCGCCGACGCCGCTCGGATGGGACGGGGAAGGGAAGGGAAGGGGGGGCGCCTGCAAGGGTGGGGGGCTTGTTCTCTGCGCTTCTTTCCCCGCCTCTGGGACCTGGGAACACCCTCCCCTCCGGAATTACAGCTCCAGACTACACAGATCAGATCCCCTGGAGGAAA